GGCCGTGCCCGATTAACGGGCACGGAGGGGCCGCGGAGCTGCCAGGAATGGACCTGAGGAAAGAGGGGAAAAAAACCCCACAACCCACCCCGGCGGCTGGCAATGTTGCGTAAAGGGAGGCTGGCAGAAAGGCCACGGGGTAAGACGCCAAGGCCCCAGATTTCCCCAGGTCGAGATCAAGGAGATCACAGGAAGGGGATCACAGCCGCTTAAGCGAGATAAAGAGTTCGTGCACCCGCTGACAGACCCGCTATTATGTTATTGCCCCCGCACCGGGTGCCTTGCGTGACTGGTGGTCAAAGTGCCCCCAAGGCCGGGGCAGCGCCGCCCCTTGGCAGGGCAACCACCCGGCCCGCGAGCGGGACTCGTGCAACATCGTCCAGCAGAAACGGGCATCGCCCTGGCTTTCTTGCTTTGTCTTTGCATCATTCCTAGTCTCAGGCTGACGTTTCCTTAGGCTGGTTTATCTACTCTGCCATTTCTCGAAGCACCGCCAAATATTTAGTGCTTCAAGCAAAGGGTATGGTTTCCAGCATTTACCGAACCCACATGATTTTTCCTCATTTTCTTATATTTACCTCGCAGACGCACTGTGGGAGGAAAAGGCAAAGGCACCAAAACCAACCTTGCACATTTGAAAAAGCAAATAAAGGTTGTCAGTAGGAAGGTGTACTTTTAGGCAAGCTAGGAAAATAAGAATAACTTACTGATATTTTGATCTTTTGTTATTTGGTTACTATGCACTCTTCAGGACAGCAGTCTTAAAACATAAAGAAAACATATTTTGATAATAATTTGAGCAAACATACACAAACCGAGACAAGCTCTTTCACAAAACTTCTGACAGCTTTAGGCAGGGATCTTTTGCAGTTTAAAAATACGTAGACTTTAATATGTGCATAATATGTCTAATGATAACTTCAGCTCCACTGGCAACATTTAGAAGTCACATACAGAGCTGGAAAACAGAATTTTCTGTTTCTGAAAAACAGAAAGCCCAATATTTGAAAGAAAGAAGTAATTTTCATTTTACTGTGAACTATGTATATTGTATATATTGTATAGGTAAATTTAGAATATTATGTTTCAGAACATCCAAATTTATTTCAGTTTTGGTACTGAGATATGATTAGGTGTTATATTGGATATAAAAGGGAGAAGTGAGCAAATTAAAAATGACACCTTTGCTTGAAAAGTTTGGATTTTTCTTTGATCAACGTGTTCATTGAGATCTGCATCTTCCTATAGTATATTTACATTTGCTCAAACGGCAGAGTGTAGGGTAGGGGGTGAGGAATTGTTCTGTGGTAAATGTATTGTTTTTAAGAGTGTCCGCACGCACTTATTTTAAACGACAGGTATCCAAAAGTTCAGGCTAAAATGCAAGAAGAAGTGGACAGGATTGTTGGCAGAGACCGCCTGCCGTGTGCGGAAGACCAGCCTCACTTGCCCTACTTCATGTCATTCCTGTACGAATCCATGCGTTTCAGCAGCTTTGTGCCTGTTACTATCCCGCATGCCACCACCTCCAACACCTTCATAATGGGCTACCTCATTCCCAAAGACACGGTGATATTTATTAATCAGTGGTCAGTGAACCACGATCCAGCAAAATGGGTTAACCCAGAGGCTTTTGACCCATCAAGATTCCTGGATGAGAATGGATTCATTAACAAAGACCTAACAAGCAGCGTGATGATATTCTCACTGGGAAAGCGTCGCTGTATTGGAGAGGAGCTATCGAAGATGCAGCTGTTTCTCTTTACCTCCATTCTGGTTCATCAGTGCAATTTTACCGCTAATCCAAAAGAGGACCCTAAACTGGACTTTACCTATGGGCTGACCATTAAACCGAAGCCGTTTACTGTGAATGTCACACTTAGAGATACTATGGATTTGCTTGATAAGACTGTCCAAAGACTGCAAGCAGAGAAAACTGCCAATGAAAATCACTCCACTGCAAATATCTAAGCACAGAATTCTGCATCTAAAGATATTCTTGCTCTCTTTCTAGACTTCAGTAAGTTATAGTTTGTTCTGGTGATCTTTTTGGAAAATAGACAACCTAACAAGCTACAAGAGCAGGAAGGAAAACTGCACAAGTCATAGAACAAATCATTCTTCTTTTTTAATTCTAGACGCAGAGCCAAGAGAACCATTTAATATATTAAATAATAAAGGAAATGCAAAGACCTGCATTTTGAAAGAAAGTTTTTCCTTTTCTAGCTTGTTCACAGAAGTTGTAATTGTAAAGTGCTTTTTCTCTGCAGACTAGGTGGAGCATCTCCAGGAACTGTTTGTACAATCCTTTCCATGTATCCATGCTCTAATGCCTTAACTCTAAGCTTGCCTTCAGTTGATTCCACATTCCAAAGTGAAACCTCATATTAAAACAAAAACAACAAAAACAAAATCCACAGAACACTGTAGCCTCCCTCTGAGTTCACTCTTCTGGAAGCTGCCATAGGCATATGGCA